AAAAAGAAGTTTCACACCCTCTTCCCCCCCCCCCCCCCCCCCCCCAAAAAAAAAAAAAATAAATAAATAAATAAATAAATAAAAGAAAAGGATGGGGTTGGTTATGATAAACTTCCGAACCTCGGAAAATTTTTAAGAAGAAAAACCTCCCAGACAAGTTTAAAAGGTTCATTCCCCTCCCTACCCTTGAAACCTTAAACTCCAAAATATAGTGCTAGGCTTTAGGTACCATTATTAGAGAATTTACCACTCAAATGGCTGCCTTAAGAGTGAAATTTGATGATTGAGATTAATAATATTTTTTCATGTTATTCTTCTATTGACTCTCCCCTCCCTTCTCCTTTTTTTCCCCATTTCTCTTTATTGCCTCCATTTACTACAACTAGAATGCATCCTATTGAACAAGTAGGGCAGTTGAACCGAAAACCCAAAAACAAAATCCTGCTAAAGGGAATTGCAAGTGAATGCTTTGAATTTTATTTCTGATGGTTGTAAATCCCTAAACCATATTATTTGTTGGAAGCTACTGAAAGGTAATTTAATAATCATCACAGACCAAAGCAAAAGAGAGAAAAAAAAAATGAAGCTACAAAAGTTTAAAAAAAAAAGGTTAGTGCCCTCATACCTGCTGCCAGTACTTTACCATCTCACAAGCAAGCCTTCGCTTCACTGCAAGAGTAGCTTTGGCACTATCGATTGCCATTCCTAGTTGGATGTCAACACTCTGCATCAGATGGTAAGAGTAGAAAGACTAAGACAGTGGAAAGAATATATGACCAAAACAGAGCACGACACGAAAATCTGAAAACTGAATAAGAAAATTCTAATCAATAGGCAGTAGCATCTCAAAGAGACAGCTGCAAGCCAAAAGGGGAAAGGAGGAAATCTTAATCATTCCAATCATGTCAACTGCTAGAATGAATTGCTCTAATAAATTTTATGGAATGAAAAGAAACAGAGGTTACATGCTCTTAGCTTGTCATGCATGTGCTATAAGTCCAGAAAGAAGAGGTGTTGGAGTCCAATATATCAAGTGTAAGAAAATGATTGATATCAGTCAGCGGGCACCCAACTTATGTATTGATAATAAATAAAAATGTAAAGAGAGGAGTTTAATCTCAAATCTGCAAGATGATCTCCATGTGCAGCTACCATTCATAGGTATCAAGGATAGCATGGGTTATAAGTTCATCAAACAAATCCATACAGGAAACTAAGATAGTACCTGCCCTAATGCTTGAAGGCAAAGTGCTCTAAGAACACCTTCAGCAAGGTCCACCGGCAGTTCTTTCCTGGAAGCAAAAGTCAGTCAAATCAGAATAATTGTGCAACAAAAATGATGGCCATGAAAAACAAGTAATGAAAATTCTGGACAGGTCTTTCATCTTTTTAAACCTTAATGGATTAGGTAATTGTGGGAGCACAGTCCGGACAGCACAATCCAGATATCCTGCAGCCTTTAAGAAAATATCAATTGATGCTCGCCTGCTCTCTGTGACCAGAACAGAATAGAGATCTAATGTGAAGCATAGTAAAAGGTGACAAATGAACATGTGTGCATGAATTCATCCACAACAACATTGCTTATAATTTACAAAACCTCCACATGCAAAGATTTCATCAAACAGATGCTACATGATAGCATTATCTCTAATTTCTTCCTTCTAGGACCATGCATGAGTAAGACCGCTAGTAGGTAATGGCATTTGGTCTTTCAATCTCAGATAGCATATTCCATTGGGTGCCGTTAATTTTTTACCCAATAGGTTGAATTTCACACCCCTCTCTACAGATTATTCATACTAAGTTATTCTTTTCATAGCTAGTTGTTAACTAATTAAAGGCTAGTTATTGAAATGCATATTTTTGTCACTAATTAGACTAACACCCCTATCTGCCACACCTAACAATCTATTACAATATAACCAGGACCCAGCTAGAAAGTATCAGAAATACCATGAATAGCTTCCTGTGCAGCAGTTACTCTCCAACTGCCGGACAAGAGCATTACCTTATGCTTGCCAAAAGAGTTTCTAATTCTAGAAGAGAATTGTTTACAGCACAGATTTTGCAGCTTCACATTACAGGCAAGAAAGAAACTATTAGCCAAGCTTCATCAATCGATGCACAATTTTTTTATAGAAAACACCTACCTTCAGATACTTTTGGCTGGTAACCATCAGAAGATGTTCTTGGAAGAAGCAACAAGTTGGCCTGTGATAATGATAGCATCGCCATCAAGTGCAAAACTGACAACACCTCATACCATGCATTAGAAATCGCTGTTTCCTGTAAAATTCTTCAGTAATATCAGATCAATGATTCTTCAGCACAGAAAAATGGAATTGCAAACCATAAAACAGAAGACTTCATCAACAGATAATGAATGGATAAGCGAGACCACACTCCCCACCCACCTCTGCTTCATCCTCTTGATTCATCCACACAAATTGTACATTGTGTAGTAGCTGGCTTCCATCTTTAACTAATCCCAACAGAACAGGCAAGTAATCTTCAAGAGCCTGATGAAGATCGGCCAATGTTGAACCTCCTGCAGACAACAAATAAATTGAAATTCAAAAGACTTCACCTAATGCTGATCTATTATGATATCTGCACTAGGATTGTTACAACCTACCATGTTGTGTAGCACTTTTTCTTCTTGTTCTTGAGACTGTTGGTGCTTCTTGGCCAGCCATAACCACGATACGAGTTCTTAAAGCAGATAGGCTTTTCACTATATTCTTCGGCAAATGATCACCAAGTGACAGAGAGAAATCAACTGGCTTGGGTATACGAAAACCAGGTACAAAAACAGACACATCCCCTATACTCCCAGGTCTCCTTCGATTTCCACCCAAATCCTGCGGAGTAGAAACCAGGCATCCCATATCCTAATAGTTACTGTATACACCAATCCATGGAACAGAAAGTCAGTTGCTGCAATAAAAAAAAAATCTTTGGCATAAATGATCACTCTTGGAATGAACATCAGTGATTCAAAGCACAAGAAGGGTATCAATTCCCATCGCATGAACTTGGAGAAAGGATGGTAGCAGTAATTAAGTTCAAAGAATGCAGACAGCAATCACAAGGAAAAGTGGAGGATTAGCAGTAAGCAAGATACAAAAGATGACATTAAATGTCCCAACCAACAAAGTACAAGTAGTAGTTCACTCACGAGCCGTATCCAAATAACTCTTTCTAGAACTCTCCAAAAGCTTTAGAAAAAGATGCTTTGTATTTGACAATTTCAATATGTATATAATATCCTTCTCCTAAAACACTTCATCACCGAACAAAAGTACTAGATAGATTAAATCACCTGATCCGCAATTAGAAGATTGACAAATGGGTCAAAACTTCTAGTAATTTCTGCAAAGAAAAGGGAGATAACAATTCAATAAAAGAGGGAACCGATAAAGTAACCAAATAACACTACATAATTTACTCTCATCCCCATTACGAGAAAAGGAAAAATGCAATAACTATAATTTAGAGAGGGAAAAAGTGATGTGTTTTTTCCCATCACAAATGAAATAAAACTTTAGAAGAGAAATGTGAAGGTAAAATGCAATTGGGTACAAACAGAACTGAAATAGCTTTGAAGAGGCAGCAGCAGCAGCAAAAAGGTAGGTATGTAGCAACACATCAAGAAAACTCACAGGATTGAATAATGAATATGACAGAGAAAAATGCAAATAAATTCCATTAAAGTAATAATTACAACAGTAGAAGATTGGACAAAGATTGTGAGTAAAGTATCTCCAAAACCAGTTTCAAAACAGAAACAAGCAACCTCAAACCCATGATGCAAAGTAAAAGCCATCTCTTTTTTTATCATTTCCCACTGTACTTGAAATCGATAAGATTAAGGATCTAAACTTTATCAATACAAACAAATGCCCAGAACTCGGTTGTGTCAATTCAACAGATTTTTGAAACTTATCTGAATTTCAAGACTCCAAAAAAACAAACTTTTTCCACATCTTAGTCTGTTATTATCTTCTTCACGTCTCTCTAAACAAACAAGCAGAGCCCAAAAGGAAAAGGTTATCTTTTCTTGCAAACATACTCGGAAAAGAAAGAATAAAACCGTCTTACCATCAAAGGTTTTTGCTGTGGTGGTAACCGAAAGACACAATTGAACTGAAAGTGAAGCAAGTACAGACAGGGCAAAAGGGACTCAAAATCAAGAATCAAGAACTAAAACCTTTAACAAGAGAAAGCTATAATTTTCTGACAAGAAGATGAAAAGGAAGAGACTTGTTTAGTTTAGAAGGTTCGACAGGAAATTTTGTTGGTTTTTTTAATGACAAAGAGTCGAACTTCCTGTTTATATATACATAAAAACAAGAGGATTTATTGCTAGTAACTTTAGTATTGGCTAAGTAAAAAGAGTGTAAGCTTCTTCTCTGTCATTTGTGTTTTTTTTTGTTTTTTATGGTTGCCACTGTGTGTGTGTGTGTGTGTGTGTGTAGCGTTCGATTGGCGCTTAACACAAGCACACATGCACCCTTTTAAAGCCCTACTTTGGACTAATCTTTTTGTCTCTGGGATGCTTTAACTTCAACTCCACTTCTCTTCTTGTGTTTTGTTACAAACATTTCGAGATCCCACCAGAAAAAATAAAAAATAAAAATATAAGAATGTCTTTCTCAGTCATTCTCCAGTTACGAGGTTTCAACTGTTTAACCCAAAAACTGAAAATGAAAATAAATTGATTACTATAACGGGATTTCTATCCTTGAGTTTTGGTTTAGATGGTAAGTCAAACGTTGTTCGTATTCCTACCTCCAATTGAAAAATAAACCAGCTAAATGAGTTGAAAATGCTGCATTTTAGCTACACCAGATACCATACGCGGCTGATTTATTCTTTACTATTTTTTTATAATAAAAATAAATTCTAAAATATAAAAATAAATTTTATTTTAAAATAAAAATAATTTAAAAACAACCTCCATAACTTTTTTTTTTAATTTAAATTTCGAATTAAAGGTTTAGTAGCATGCGCAGGAGAAGAGGACTGAAAAGTTGATAAAATCATGATGATGAGATTGCACCAGGGGCTGGGGCTGGGCTCGGGCTCGGAAAAAATAAATAAAAAAAACGTTAATATTATGCTTTCATAAGAAAATAAAAAAAAAAAGAAATTTTAAGGTCAAAACTAAATAATATTTAAGTTTTGGTCCCTTAAAAAAAGGTATGGGGCTCCGCCCCTAGATCGTAACATGACAATAATAATTGAGCTGTGACGGTAAGGATATATAAAAGTATATGACTTTAATATTTGTTTTATATATACATTACATCATCATCCTCTTAATTAATTGATTAATTAGCCCCTTTTTTTATAACAAAATAATCCCAAAGAATGTCCCCCCCAACGCACTAGGGTAACACATGCGTGGCAATTGTATGCGGATTTCACTTATAATTATTAACTAATCTTACATCATTGGATATGTATTGACTTGCTATTCCAATGAAAATACACTCATCTTTAAATATATTATTTTTATTTAAAAATATATTATTATTTTTTAAAATTTATTTTTGATATCAATACATCAAAATAATTTAAAAATATTAAAAATTTTAATTTAAAATAAAAAAATTTAAATATGTAGTTGAATTGTAATGCCAAACATGATCCTAGAACTCGTTTGATATTGTAATAACAGTTATTTTTAAAAATATTTTTTATTTTAAAAATATATAAACTAATACTTTTTTTTTTTGAAAACTTATTTATAATATAGCATATTAAAACAATCTTAAAACATTAAAAAATAATATTTTTTTAAAATTACTTTTAAAATACAAAAATAAATATTCTTGTGAAAACTGAAATTTCCGAGCAAAGTTAATAAAACCCATAATGATCAAACATGTTTTTCGGTATCCCGTGTTAAAGAAAGAATTGGATAATCCTAAAGGGTGTAGCTTAATTGACTCGTTTCTAGATCTGTTTTTTAAAGGTCACTAGTTCAAGTCTTACAAATTTTAAGGTCATTTGAAACTTATATGGTTATTAACTTTAGGACCTGTATAAACTTACTTAAACACCCATATTAATAATAAAAAAAAACTAAACATATAATTTTTGTCCGTGTTCCTTAAAATCACCATGATATGCATGTAAACATGGTTTTAAAGGAAATATATTTAGGTATAGTTTTAAAAGTAGACATGATCAGGTGGATCAGCTTTAGACTCGACTTATTCAGATTGGAATAGACTGTGTTAAAGAAAAAATAAAAAAAAATTCGATTGCAATTTATTAATTTTTTTTACTAAAATAATATTTTTATTATTATTTTAAAAAATAATTTCGATGACCTGATAATTCAGTTAAAACCTAAAATCCAACCCTTAAATCGGCTGGCCACTGGACCGGATCTAATAACAATGCATATTGGATTGTTAGGCAGGGCAGGCGGGACCACACGTGGCAAGGAATAGTCCTATCAGGGTAGGCTAGCTAGCTAGCTAGCTCTGTTGAAAGGGAGACGTGATTGAATCTTACAAGCACGAACAAGCTCCTTGTCGAAGGGAAGACGTGTTCAAATACAAGCACGAACAAGCTCCTTGTCGGAGGGAAGGCGTGATCAAACCTTACAAGCACAAACAATAATCATAAACAAAGTGTCATACATATGCATGCCTCCACCTAGTCAATAGAAGTTTTAAAGAATCGAGAAACTGAACATTGCTTGCTAGCCTGAGTAAAGTTCGAAGTTGAAGGGTGCATGTATTTAGAAATGCGGTGAAGCCATGTTTCTGAAAAATCGAGAACTGAACATAGCATGCAGTTGATTTTTCAATAAGCTCGAAAAGAACATGGCCAAGTGCATGGATGCTGCTGTCTTTATTCACTGTGAATGTGCGAACGACAACTTTGAACTTTATTCCCCCTTGTCCTCGTGAGTCCAGCAAGCTTCCTGCCTGTTTTGCCATGTGGGAAGCTCGAAGACTTTTTGACAACCTCACAGGCAGTTGGTCCATATATTCTGCTCGTCCTTCCCACCAAAACAGTCATTGTTATGAATTCACATCCCATTCTCGTAGAATAATCTGTGGCCTAATCGTTCAATACTTCAGGAAAATATGAACTGACAGCCCATCTGGAAACAAAACACAGAGAGTTTATGCAGCTATACAGCGTTCTGGGGCCTGAGGCACAGGCGAGTTTAGTTGATTAGGACAGAATTGGGGCCATAATCTATCAAGAAAAAGACAAAATAAGGGGTATTCAGCTGTCACTAGCATTCAAAAAGAGCTGATGCATACTTCACAAGCACTATGCACCTCTAACAAGAGTCGTAGCTAGTTTCAATCCAAACTATGTATTACTGTTCCCCTTTTGCTATGCAATTCTTATATTTGCATGAACAAATCTATTCTGCTCAAGGAATAAATCTTAATTTGATTCTACTAGATCATCATTGAATAAAATACTCTGTACTTTTATGTTAATCAATGGGCGAAAGATTTAGCAATATCAAGGTAGATTGTTCATATCGGGATGGGAATTAAGAACCACACATCTCTTTCACACCTTGTTCAGCCAAATAACAATACTTGTTATTGAAAATCTCGACAATTTGTCCAAAAACATCACTACGTCAATGTTTTTGCCATGGAATCTTTAGCCCAGAAAACTCAAAGAAAGAAAATCCAACAACAACTCTGGGTGCTAAGAAGCTGCCATGGAGAAATGATGGTCAAGCAAGTAAAGAATCCGGGATTTGAAATACTTTTCTGAGAACTATAAATTTTTCCGCAAATTAAACTTTTAAACGAAATATAATTATCAATTTGCATGCTCAAACATATATCAACTCTTTCTATAGAATTCAAATATCTATTCCTCTAACTCAACTAATTCACTCTAATGATTTGTAGATCTTGTATTCTGAACAAGTGGTTGGCATAGGATTTTGTAACCGATGGATGTTGACCATCCATCTTCGTCATCGTCTTAACTTAACCACTTGAACCATTCCACGATGCTTATTTATATCATATTTCTCATATATACCATTTGTGTTGTCATCATCACGTATATTAATCGATCCACAGAGCTCTCTTTCCTTAAACAATCTCAACAATTTTCCTACGATACGACAAAAGCCACGTTATGATTGAAAAAAAATCTTGTCGATGAAAACGATGAAATCAATAATACTAATATGCTTTTCAAAATATTTTTTTAAAATTTTATTTTTAATATCACTATATTAATATAATTTAAAAATATTATTAATTTTTAAAATATAAAAACAAACTAACACTAATTTTTTATTCAAAAATAAGAGTTTGGAAAGAAGTATTGTAATGTACAGCATAAATACATGAAAATCCTCACAATAATACTATAATATAAGGTGAATAATATATTATGATATTATAATAGTGATTATTTTTAAAAATATTTATTATTATTATATATATTAAAATAAATTATTTTTAATTTATTATTTATATAGTACATTAAAATGAGTTAAAAATGTTAAAAAATAAAAAAAATAACTTTTTTTAAGATATCAAATCAAAGACAGAATATTTTGCCCTGAGCTAGAACAACACAAGTCACCCTCTTAACCCACCGTCCATCATCTGTTAGCCTTCCACGTGGATTCACGTAAGCATGACGTCACCACATCTCATCTCATCCGTATCAAATCCCTGTCCCTCATTGGTCCATACCTGGAGTTCACGTCCTAGGCCGGTGATCCAAATATTAATTATTTAGATTTAATGGGATTGTCGCACGTGTAGATTGGACACGCGGCCACTGACGAGGTGTTTTGATCCTTGAAGAGCGCGTGATATTTGCCATTCTGGATCGGTAACTTGTGCTGCCGCCACAACATTGTTCGATGGAGATTTTCTTGGAGCCGTTGTGAATCTGCCACGTTATGAGCCAAAGCATCAAATCAACTATGCAACGGCTAGACGACGTTGAAGAGCCAGGAACAGGCAACACGTATCTTCAATCATGTGTGTGGGTCCACCATACCTTTGCATAATTGTTGTTTTGGGGTCATACTGGCCTGCTATTTTTTTTCTTTTTTTTTTTAACACACCCCTAATATAATTCAAAGACTTTATTTATTTATTTTTTATTTTACAATACAACTTATTATTGAATTTTAATGTATTGGATTATATCACAAGAGCTTTCTGATCTTTTGTGGTATCAATCATCCTTGTTATTGTCCAAGGAGAATATAATTATGTTTGTAATATATGTATGTAATTTATCTATACTTTGATTTCTCTCTATAAAATCTATGATATAATTTGCATCAAATGAAAAGTTTGTTTATATTAATTTATGCACATTTCTTAATATATACGATCTTGTTTGTCTTGGGGTG